GGAGCGGCACATCCCAAAATCTGAAGCAGCCAGCGGCGTGTGGGCACCTAATCTGGCGCATCTCACCGCTGCTCTCTCACACCAGCGTTCCCAGCCCTGATCTAATCCACGGGGATGCTGGCGAGCTGCTCGCTCTTACGCACGGCGCTTGCATAACCCAGCGGCGCCGCACACGCACGCGTGCCCTGCCGAGCCGGCATCCCTTGCCCAGCCGGCATCCAGGAAAGGTTGGCCAGCACAGCGATCTCCTGCAGGAACTGGGGGGTCCCCTGGGTTTCAGGGGGCTGTAGTTTTTGGGTTTCCATGGGTTTTCAGGTTTCAGGGAGCTACGGGATGGTGCAAGAGGAAGCGTGGTGCCTGGATGGGCAAGGTCAGGGTGGTGATGGAGGTTTGGGGTCGTGTGGCCAGTTTTGGGGGACAGCTGATGGGGCAGGGATGACCCCGTGGCTGAAGCAGCGAGGACAGGGCTGACCTCAGGTGTGGGGTGGACCCCAGGGTCTGGAAAGGAGGCAGAAGGCTCAGGATTCTGCAGCAAGGACGTGGGGTGGCAGCAGTGCTGAAGCACGGCGATGGGCACAAAAGCAGCTTTTTGTAGAGAGGGTCACTGACTTTGGCCACTTTGGCTCTTTCGTCCACTCAGGTCCTGTCCCACTGGGGGGTCTCAGCATCACCAGTGACACCACCATCCCCACCAACCCCAGGCTAAAACCCACCCAGCACTGTGAGCGGGGCTGGGAAGGGAGAGGGAAAATCCAGGTGGGACAAACAGATTAAAAAGCTCTCGATTTCCTGGAGGGACGTCAGCTGTTGCAAGAGGTTTCACTTTGAGCTGAGCAAAGCGTTTGATTCAACCTAAGCCTCGACATTTTGCTTCATTTTGAAGGGTTTTTTATTTGTTTAACTCGAAACTTGAAGCGAAAGAGAATTCCGTGCTGTAAAACGGCTCTCAGCCCCCAGTCGAAATTTGGTTTGTTAATGCTCAATCAAATCCTTCTCAGCTTCTTCTGAAACCCTTTTCCTTTTTAAACCCTTTCTCAACAACACCACGAAACTGGTGTGAATTCATGAAGCATCTCCTCATTTGCATTTTTTTGCCCCGAAAAATCCCAGCTGCAAAAACATTGCTTAGTCCTGGCACCACTTGGTGATGGGAAGTGCAACTGGGAGCGATGGGAGAGCGCGCCCGGGCTGAGCCAGGGGCTTGGCGTTCGTTTTTGAAGGGAAAATTAACTCTCCTCCATCCTAGAAACTTCAGAGTGTGTTCCCTTTCCCCTCTGGCGCAGTCACAAGTGCGGTTGCTTTTGTTTCTGAGGAGCCCATCGTACGGCAAAGGGCGTGCTGGCTGTTATAAATTGAGGGAATAAAACCTAGGAGCCAATTTAGAATTTAAATGATAATTTATTAAATTTAGCAAGCGGCTGAGTAAGCAAAACAGCGCTGGGCAGCGGGGAGCAGCTCTCGCCAAGGAGTGCTCTTACCACAGCTGCACCCGTGCACGGGCAGATACCTTGGTTATATGCAAAGAAAGTTACATATTCATTAGATGCTTATAATATTCATGAGCTATTCTAAAAAGGCACTCAGTGCCAAGGGTCGGTTGCTCCTCCTCTTGACACCTGCGCAGTGCCTCCTGGTGGTCTTGGACAGGGATCTTCAGGGATGAAGGCCGTAGGTCTTCCTCACGATGAACTTTGGTTCAAAAACTAGTTGCTCTCAGCATATTTCGTAAGATATCTTTGTCCTCGAATTCCACAAGGGGCTTTCATCACCAGATGGTCCTTGTTAGATACCTTTATCACTAGTGTTCTTGTCAATTATTTTTGGTTTTATGTACTCTTACAGTGAGTCCATCCTGGCAGCCTTTGTTCTTTTGCAGCTGGCGCTAGACAGCTCCCCCTGGGTACAAGCCTGACCTTGGTGCCAGGGAAGATTATGGCGTGGTATGATCCATGTTTGCTTAACAGGATACTGCAGCCTAAACAACTTCATTTCTAGCACAGCATAAAATTTGATTAACAAATTCTAAATGCCTTCTATTACACTGGCTTTGCGGCTCTGCTCTGGCGTCGCTCTGTGCTCGCTGGCTGGCACCTCCCTGGAGGGACCGGTGACTGGAGCAAGGGCTGGGGAGACCCACCACATCTCCCACTGTGCCCCATCGCTCTCAGCTGGGATTCCTGCCTTGGGGGCGCCCCGTAAGAAGCTTGATGGGGTCCCACGTGCTGGACTGGGGCAGATCTTGCTCGTTCCTTTGGGAGGAGGTTTTAGGTGGCTGAGGCTGTGGCGGAGACTGGATGAGGGCCAGGGGACTCATCCTGCCCGGCTGTGGCTTTGTGGTGAGTTTTAACCCTACGGGATGCGCCGAGGTGGGTGCTCTGCTGGGTTGCACCAAGGTGGCAGCGGGGATGGGAGCACCCTGGTGGCCTTGACTGGAAGGCTTTAAATGCCATCGAGCGCCTCTGGAGCTGCAGAGCGATTTCTGGTGTTATTGCACATCAAACCAAATGGATAAATATTAGGGTGCTACGTTCTCCTGTGTCCAAAGCGCTTAGGGAAGCCGGGAATATATCACCTCCCAGCCTGGCTGGGCTTCTCTGCTGATTTCTCAGTGTTCGCCGTGGTGTCACCGTCTCTCATGGGTTGGGTCCAGCTGGGGAACGCTCTGCACTGGAGGTCCCGGCAGTGGGGCCGGGGCGCTGGCTCCGTCTCTGTCCCGCTCTCCCTGCTCACGGCTGTGCCCCGATTTCCGCAGGAGTTTGCGACGCTGACGCGAGAGCTCAGCTCCTGCCGGGAGCAGCTCCTGGAGAGGGAAGAGGAGATCTCGGAGCTGAAAGCCGAGCGCAACAACACCCGGGTGAGCATATCAAACCCGCTCTCTGCCCTTCGCTCCTCAGAAACGCGGGGCGCCACAGGCTGCCGGGCTGGTAACGGCAGGCCCCGGGGTGGGGCGAGCCTCACGCTTGCCCTCTTGCAGCTCTTGCTGGAGCACCTGGAGTGCCTGGTGTCGAGGCATGAGCGGTCCCTGAGGATGACCGTGGTCAAGCGTCAGGCTCAGTCGCCATCCGGGGTTTCCAGTGAGGTCGAGGTGCTCAAGGCGCTCAAGTCGCTCTTTGAGCATCACAAGGCGCTGGATGAAAAGGTGAGTCGAGCTCCTGGGACCTCTCATCCCCTGCTCCGAGCTGATTTCCCAACCCTCCTCCTCCCTCCCCTTTTTTGTTCTTATGCCGGGTGGTGCCGTGGGGTCCCTTAGGAGGAAGGTCTTGTACATCCAAAACCTGCAGCGCCCTCGCTTTAGGGGCTGGGTGGGCTGAAAAAAGTGGGGTTTGAGGCTGCTGGGGACAGGGAAGTCGCTTCCTCGGGTCACTCCCATGGTGGTGACATTTGGCCCCCTGGTGCAGTTTTTGCGGTAGGACTCTTGTTCCCGCTCATTCATTTGCTTCGAGCATCTCAGCTCCTCTGCTAAAAGGTGTTTTCAAGCCTTTCACGTTGTCTCACGCGACTGCAGGTGAGGGAACGCCTGCGAGCAGCCTTAGAGCGAGTGGCAACCTTGGAGGAGCAGCTCGTGGATGCCCACCGGCAGGTAAGAGGTGCTGGGGCAGCCCTTGCTGGGGGCTGGGGCTGCTTGGTGTTACATTTGTGAGTTCATGCCGAATTCCCCACAACACCACTCTCAAACGATCATTCGGGTGAGAGAAGTGGCGTTTGGGCATTTTTAATGCAAGGCTTTTATTCTATTTACACGAAGGATTGTCTGTGTTTAAGGAAACCTGGTAAATGCTCTGAAAACTTTAGTCTCGCAGGCAAGGTTTCCTCTGTCATTTTGCTTTTTGGTGTTCATTTCACTGACAAAAGCAACGGGAACATGAATCATTTCAGTGGGCTGGGAGTGACTTGTGATTTTCCCTGCCTCAGTGGAGACCCAAACCTCGCTGTTCCGAACACCTCGACTTGCATCCCCTCTCTCTTTCCTTGCTGGGGCCCTGGAACGGGGACTTTGCAGTCCCTGACACGTAGCCCTTTTCATCTTGGAGAGATATTAGCCCTGTTTTCCTACCTGAGGTTCATGCCCAGCCACTACTGGGAGCCAAAAGGAAAAAGCCAACCTTACAGCCTCTGCCTGGCCCCATTTTTCTCCTCTTTCCGCTTCCCAAGATGTGCCTCGTGGTACCTCCCCAGGCTCAGCAGGGAGGCAGTGCCCGGCCTTCGGTGGCTTTACAGGGACTTCTCCCCATCCTCCCCCAGAAGAGCAGGGTGCGACGTCGGTGTTTGTCCCCTGCATTGCTGCCTTCCCCTGAATGTGAGGGTGGAGGAAGCCGAGGGGGAGCCAGTTGCAGACCTGGGTGCAGCAGGGCTGGCCTCGCCCGCACCAGGTGGTCTCATTTGCTTTCTCTCATTAATTAAGCCCCGTTGTCACGCAGGTCGCGGCTCTGCAGCAAGGCGCCGCCCGGGAGGCCCCGGCGGGTGAGCGGGATGAGAGGGAGCCCAAGGAGCCAGCACAGAAGCTTCCCTGGAAGGTGAGAGCCCCCGAAAGCCCTGCTCTGACCACACTCACCCAGGCTGTCATTTCGCCATCCCCTTCGTCGCTGGCTCCGGGGTGCTTAAAACGTTTTGCCCTCTCCCCTGGCTCCAGCCCCCTGGGACATGGGGTGGATGCTCCTGTTTTGTGCTCCTGCTTGGATGCTCCTGTGGTCTCTGCTTCCCAGAGACACTCTGGCAAGCCCTCAGCCATCCCAATTCCATCGTGCCTGTGAGAAGCCACATGCCTGGCTAGCGGAGGCTGCTGACAGAGGGTCCCAGACCCCCAGGTCCCCGCTTCCCACCATGTCACTGGGTCCCTGCAGGGCCATGGTCCCCCGGTGCGTAGCTGCAGGCTATGCCAGCCCGTGCTCTGGGGCAGCCCGGCATCCGCCTCCCTCTCTGCTGCCTTGCAGCGGCTCTCCAACGGTTCCGTCCACCCGGATGATGAGGCAGGGCGGGTGGTGGAACTGCAGGAGCTCCTGGAGAAGCAGAATTTCGAAGTGGTCCAGGCCAAGGAGCGCATCTCAGCGTTGGCTGCCAGCGTCGCCGAGCTGGAGGAGGATCTGGGCACCGCCAGGAAGGATCTGATCAAATCGGAGGAGATGAGCAGCAAGTACCAGAGGGACCTCCGAGAGGTTAGACACTGCTCTCTCGCACTGCCAGGCCTGTCGCAGTTGCAGAGACATTCGCAGCAGCTTCCACGTGCTCTGGGCTGGGAAGGGATTGTAACCCCTGTTGTGTGCAGGGTGAGGGCCGGCATGCCTCCCAAAAGAAGCCACTGCCTTTGGGAGATTGTCCCCAAGTCCATGAGCAGGGCTTCCCCGAGGTCATGGGCAGACACCGAGACACCCGGTTGTGCTCAGAGCTGGGGGAGCTGTGTCCATGCTAGAAGGTTTTCCTGTGATTGCTTGACCCTGCCTCTATCGCTGCCCCACTCTGCTGTCCTCATCCCCGTGTGCAGCAGGGTTTTCATTGCATGCTTGGACCCGGGGGAGTCCTAGGCTCACAGGAGCTTGGTGGCCCCGTTAGTACCCAAATGGTGGCTGCAGATCAGGGTGTGACAGCCCCATCACTTCCACAGGCCTTGGCTCAGAAAGAAGACATGGAGGAGAGGATCACCACGCTGGAAAAACGCTACCTGGCAGCCCAGCGAGAAGCCACCTCCATCCATGACCTCAATGACAAGTTGGAAAGCGAGTTGGCCAACAAGGAGTCCCTGCACCGCCAGGTACCAAAGCTTGGTCCCAAATACACCCCAGCCAGGGCATGTGTTGGGGAGATGTGGGTGCTGGGGATGGGACAAGCAGGCAAAGCTCGGTGCCTGGCACCCATCCTGCCCCGTCCCGCAGTGCGAGGAGAAAGCCCGGCACCTGCAGGAGCTGCTGGAGCTGGCAGAGCAGAAGCTGCAGCAGACAATGAGGAAGGCAGAGACGCTGCCCGAGGTGGAAGCAGAGCTGGCCCAGCGCATCGCCGCGCTCACCAAGGCAAGTGTGCGGGGTGGTTGAGGACCAGAACTGGAAGGGAGTGCAGGAGGAGGAGGGAGAGGCAGGTCTGGCCACCTCTCTGCAGAGAGTTTGCAGCTCTGAGCCT